ATATGAAATTTACTTTGCCATTTTTCTAAGCTTTCAGCTTTCTTTCTAAAATGACTCAGAAATACAATAACCTGAGAAAGTCACATAGAATGTTTTGAACATTGTTATATAAACTTTAATCGTAGTTATTTACAAATCATTTTCATCTTAAACAAGAAAAAAAAGATAATGATAACTGACAGTTGTTGAATATTTAATATATGCTTAGCAGTAAGGGCTTAACATATACTAATCTCCTTTAATCTTTACAATAATTCAATGAAATGTTTCTGTTATCATCCATATTTTATAGATGAAGAAATTAAAGCACAGAGAGGTTAAGTTACTTGGCCCAATGTTACACAGCCATGAGTTGCAGAGTTGGGATTCTAACCCAGGCCACCAGGTTCTAGAGCCAGTATTCTTAAACTCTAGGAGGATCTAGGCAAGAAATCTGACTTGGGGGAGAGGGAATTCCTGCCTGTAGACTATACTGAAATTACTGTGTTTAAGCTTTACGCTACCTTAATCTTCTCGATTGCCTTATTCTACTGTGGAGAGTAGACCGAGTCAGTCTGCCCAAGTTGGAACCCTTGCTCTGCCACTTACTTAACTTTAGATGTATCAATCACTAATCTCCAAGAGGTTCAATTTCTGCATTTATGAAAAGAGGATAACAATAGAACTACTTCATAGAATGGTTAAGATTAACTGACTAATCTGAGGAAATCACTTGGTATGGCATTCATGAAATGTTAACTTATCATCATCAGGGCCTTTATTTTCGTCATATATAAAAGGAACAGAATTCGGAAAGTCCTTGGGAATAAATGCACAATTCTTTCAAGTATTTTAGTGTGTGTAAGGTGTGGCAGATCATATCATGTAAGACACCTCTACATGCTAGAGTGGCTCTGAAGTCACAACACTGATTCCTGTAAGGCTTGTGAGTCAGTAGAATTTCTGACATGCATTTTAAATGAGTAATAACTGCATGTGATGCCATTAAGCCCATAAAGTAGATATTTAGTCTGTCCCTCAACATTAATGATTTTTATTTACCAACTCTTCTACTTCCATGTGAGTATTGATTCTAACTTTTCAGGCTGCTTCATTCAATATGTATATATTGGGAACTTTTATTGCGTCATGCATGTCTCATGTAGTAGAAATATGAAAAATGCTCTGAAAAACATTGGTGTTTAAACCTATGGTCTGTTAACTTGTGCACTGTAAAAACATTAAACTATGTCTCACCACTCAGGAGATCTCCATTGTTGCCTTGATATTTCTCTGCAAAACAGTATGCTTCTTGCCTTCAGTTGCTTTCTCCACTTCCTTTTCAATGATTTTTTTGAGTCCTAAGATGATGTTCACCTGACTCGGAACAACGTATTAGTCCATTTCAACTGTTGACTGCATGTCACACAAACTATTCTTGGTTATTCTATCTAGTTTTTCCTGTCATCTAGCCCCCAGCACCTTATTACGTAGAGCTGAGAATCTCTACAGTTTTGCAAGTTGCAGTACTCATTTTGGATTAATCTATTTTAATATTTTTCTTCATCTTCTTTTTCTTTTTAATTGTGGTAAAATACACATAACAAAACTTACCATCTTTTTTTTTTTTTTTTTTTTTTTTTCCTTTTTT